GTTTAATAATTAAATTACTCTACTCTCTTTCGAATAATTATAAATTAAGCGAATTGATATTAAAATTTATATTTTTAAAAGTTTAATTTTGTTATTTAAACAAGGTAATTAAACGCATCCTCTTCTATATAATTTATTATCGAGACGAAATAATAATACTGTTGAAATAAGTTATAATTAATTAATTTTTTTGTTTTATCGATTTTATTATGTATATTATTTATTATTTACTGTAACAGGCCAGCAAGCTTGACAATTTTTCTATTATAATAATCGAAAGTAAACAATAATATACAGTATACAGTGCGTATAATTTTATTTTCCTGCTGTTATACATAATATAAGGAAAGTATGTCGATCTGTCAATAAATGACCCCTAAAGATTTTTACATTTTATGGACTCGGGACTTTGAAACGTCGAGAAATGCGAAAAAATTGGGTCTTTTTTTCTGTTTGTGTGTATGCACGTTAGTGTTTACGGGGCACGATTTTGTTCATCCTCTTAACTCCTGTGTCTCCTGCAGAAACTTTCTGAAATTTTACAGGGATGTTTGCGTATTAAGGGCATCGATGCTATTAAGTTTTGGTGGTTATAAGTAAAAGGGTGGGGAGATAGGGGGTGGAATTGATAGGGCATGTGTCATATCTGGAATTTGTCGGACTTAATGAAAATTTTACTCGTTATTAGCAGTTACAACTTTTTATTTTATAAAACTCGTCCCTACGCTCGAAATTAAGCCTTTGCCATTTTATAAAAATTAATATAAAAGGTTTTTAAAATAAAATCCAATAAGAGATGGCGCCACACACACAATTTTAACGTTTCTCCGGGAAAGTTACGCAACTTTGGTGGATTTTTTTTAAAAATAAATAAACTGTTAATGTGTGAATGATTAAGGAAACAGATTAATTTATCAGTTTCTATTTTTTTGCGTCATTTTTTATTGTTAAAACTGATTCAAATCGATTATTTTTGACCGCTTTTAATTAATAAACTCGTGTAGATCGATTGATATGTCACATTTCGATTTTTATTGTTTAAAATACGTTGATTATTCTCTATTACATCGCATGTATTATTTCTAGAACCCCTACTAATAAGTCGCAACAAAATATATCGATTTTTTTGGAATGTTTTTCGCAGAAATGCCCTTTTGACGATTATTTTATGCGCAAATTTTCGATGTTATCGTACTTTAATAAATATTTTTAAAAATTTTTTGTAATATTTAAGCGTGAAATGATTTCTTATCATATGCTAGCAATTTAACCGTTGTTGTTCATCGCTGCATTTACGCGATGACTCATGCACTCTAGTTGTATAACTGGAATCTTTAGACAGAAGACGGAATTATTGTTGTTGTTATTAATATAACGCCAAGAGAAATGTCAGAAAAATGTAAACAAAATTAGCCTCTACATAATCGAGTCTTTTACGTAAAGGTTAGTGATTTTGACACGTTTTGGCGTGCTTTTTTTTGCTAAGAAGGCGCGAAAATTGCCATCAGAATACGATTTAAAAGTATAATACAGTGGTTCTGGATCAGGATTTACATTATTTGTCATTTTTTTTTTATTATTATTATTATATCAACGAAAACGATGCGTGCGCCGCAGAAAATCCCATGATCAATACATCAGTTCGCACTTGTAGTTCGCCATCTCCAAATGCCTATGACGTTTCTGCAATGCGGTGTCTTAATAACCGACTTCTACACAAACTGTAATGGGTTCTCATAGTTTATTTATCATCACTTTGACTCATTTAACGCTACAGATTCGTGATTTTGGCGTATGACGTTGGATATGTTGTAGAAAGCTTGGTAAACCGATTTCTCTATGGTGGATAGCGTTACAGTTTTTTCACAGGCATGTCACAGGCAATCAAGGCATATAGGATGTAAGTAAAGTGCATTACTGCGTTTGTAAATCGGATTTATTTCACCAGTACTGCATGAATAGATTGTTTATGTTCTATCTTTTATGTTGTAGCTGATAAAAAAAAAATACTCATTGCTATAAAAACGGATGCTTAAATAATATTATCAGATTAACCTTTAACAAACGTCAGGATTAAACCAATGTTTGTTTAAATTTATGACATTTTATCTTTTTTTTTTGTTAATATTTTTTATGGAATGGATTAAATCTTTTATTTACAGAAAGAAGATTGAATCTATAGGCAAGATGACGCAAATGACTCAGGAAGAAATTATTACCAATGCAAAAACTGTAATACAGGGTTTGGAAGCTCTCAGGAATGAACATAATTCCATTTTAAATGGATTAATGTCTTCGTTGAAAGCAGTACAACAAGAGAAAGGGGAGGGAAATTTAATGGAAGAAAAAGCATCTCTAGTCAGAAAGAATTTGGAATCGATAGAACTTAGTTTAGGAGAAGCACAAGTGAGTACTTCTTAAATTAATTTCGTCTAAATTTAAATATATTTTGGAATGTAATTAATGTTTTTCCATCAGTTTTTTGGGTTTTTTTTTAATAGTTTTTTAAAATCTAATTGCCTACAAGATTATAAGTTATTTAAGAGGAAAATTGAATTGTTTAACTTTTTGGAAAAGTTAATCGGAAGGAAGTTTTATAATGAA